GACCGGGGTTTTCGCCAGCGTCATGCTGAGCAAGTTTCTCGGCGTCCGCGTAGAGGGCGTCGAGCTCTGCTGCGTACATTGCTAAAGTACCTGCGCGTTGTACGGTGCCCTTTCCGGCACGCAGCATGGGCTTCTCCGGAGTGGTGAAAAGAATGTGGCTCTTGGCGATACGGGCATGGGCTGGACACTCCTCGTTCGCCTGCTGTCTGCTAGGCCAGAGTCTTTCAATGGCAGCGGCCCGGTGGCTCGTGCTCAGTCCTACTTCTGAGCGGCCCAGTTCAATGATGAGAGCGGCTTGAAAGCGTTGTGCCCCGGCAACCAGAGCCCCTGTCACCTCAGGATTAGAGGCGAGTATGTGGCCCTCCATCGAGACGGGATTTGTCTTCTCACCATTGAGGAAAACAATCACATCATCCAACCTTGCAGACGGCCGCCAGAGGTCTGACTTGGCGGGATCCGGGTGGGGCACCATCAGGTCGTTGGTATGATACTCCTGACGGTCAGGGAAGATTGAAAATGGAAATTGGTGACCCTCGCGCTCTGGAGTGCGCACCATCACCGCCTCATACTCGTCCCCGGACACATGCCGGAATTCAACGCCCAGCTGTGGATGGAAGTGAAGATAGCGCCAGTCTTTGAGGGGATCCCATTTGCCCATATCGTGGATCACATTCAGGATCCCCAGCTCGGAAGCGCCATAGCCGTTCACAATTCTCAGCTTGCGGGATACTATGTCCCCGACAGGCTGGGGCAGATCCCCGCCACAATACATCATGTACTCCAGATGGTTGCCGCAGTACTCCAGCAGATCAGCCGATTGGGACAATTCCAGTACGATTGATGGGACAACAACTGCCCAGTCAAATGGGGTCTGCTTCCTCGCCGCTACCATCCCGGTCGCGCTGGGAAGACCGGCAGCAGTAGGCATTATCCGGGTGGTATCAACAGGCATGGTAATAAAAAGAATATGCCCTAGTCCAGCGGCCTACAGTAGCAGTTAGCAGTTGCAGTGCGCTGTAATTGTGGAAACCTTACATGGAAAGGAGGCAAAGAGAGATACATGCGCTTGCCGAAACCCCAGCTGTCCTGGCCTTCGCAGCCAGCGGGTATATCGAGTCTTTGCATATGCATATGCTTGACGGCACTGTCATGGGTCCAGATAATGGGCTTAGGGATTCCCGTTGACCCCGATGTGTGAAGGATAACCAGTCGATCATGTGCTGCTTCAGGATATGTTTTGTGGTAAGGAAAGACCGGATACTGGGTGGCGAGTAGTTCAGCCATACTAGGAACATCAACAACCTTCACTGAGTGGGCGTCGACAATTCCCGCGATGAATGGTGGCCGTGGTGAAGGGGCCAGTAGCGTCGTGCACCCTAGTTTAATGAATAGCGACTGATGGGCCACTGCACTGTTGCGCGGCGACGTAAGAAACATCTGTTAATACACCCATGTCAGCAGGTTCCCCGGAAGCCGCACTACGTAAACGGGCCATCCTACACAGTATCCAGCCTTGACTGCGCCCAATACCAATGCCGGGTATCGCAAGTCATTCGGTCCAAGGTAGGCCAAAGTTTCTCCTGTTCCAGGGCCCAGGGTCTTTGTCAGCCAGCCAGCGACACCATTGATAGCGTTGGCCAAGGCTTTGTAGGTGATTAGCCTGTAGCCTTCCTCATAAGTCATTGGGTTCACCGGGTATTCTGCATAGATGGCTTCTGGCTTGACCTGGGCATAGTGGTCAAAGATGTTGGGAAGTAGCTCTGAGCGCGGATCATAGCCGGAAGAAGGAGTCCAAGTAGGCATGATAGGCAGCGAAGTAGTGGTCAAAGAAGAGAAAATGGAACTTGAAATTTCGATGATGGCGATGATGACGTTGCTGATAACGATGTTGCTCCAGACCAACTAGGGGAAGGACCTTGTCTTTATAAGGCCATTCGAAAAAAAAAAAAAAAAAAAAAAAAAAATGAAGGTGAGAGCATGGAATTAACCGTGACAATGAGCAGGCGGGTGGTGAAGGGAACGAGGAGGGGCAGGAGAGAGATGAGGCTGGATTGGACGGCCTAGCTGGGGTTGGCGAAGCAAGAGGGTCAGGGAATTTCCGTGATCTCTCAGTAGCCCTTGTATGTATGGGAATGACCAATGACCAAAAAACATACAGGGGTCTTCTTTGTCCCAACCAACAGCCCCGATCATCAACATGGATTACCTGCCAATCCAACTCACTTGGCATATGTAGATACCCTAGCTAGCTGGGGCTATCCATGCCATTGGCCAAGCTCATTCAATCAAGACAAGGTGAACCCATAAGCTATAAAAATAGCACCCGTAGAAATATCGGACAGCAGCGAATACAAAATGACCAGCCCCACTTGGTTGTCTTTATCATTCACTGTCACATCACCATCACGCGAATCGAAGCGTTTGTCCCTGTATTATTGTCACTAGGTGTAGCATGCATCCAGTGACCATCACAGGGGCGGAATGTAAACCAGACAGTGATTTGAGGAGTCAAGAGTTGCTAACTTCGCAGAAAGGCCTGAGTCACTCTAAAGCTCATGGACAACCCCCGGCTAAGAAGAATGTTTTAACTTTTGTACCAGGAGCTTTAACGGTACATAAACTGCATAGTGATGATAATGGTGCTGGTTGCTATCATTAGCAGCCATAGCAAGTGGTAGTTCAACTATCTGCTGCTCTAAGTAGGCTAAAAGCAGCTCAGGATTGGCAGTGTTCTATGTGAAAATGACAACTTATGCTGAATCTGTCAGCTGCTTTGCGGTGAATCCAACCTATCCCGGCGGCCTTTTCATTGCCTCTCTGTCGGTTCGTCCTAGTTTCCGGGCAGCAGGCCCGTGAAGGCCGGGTTTACGGATTCGAAGGCACGCATAACGGCCATGGTGACTACCGGATACCCCATTATAGTATCATGCAAGCCAGTCTTGAGGATCTGCTCCCGGATGATGCCATTGTCGGTCTTCCATTCCACGACAGTACCAGCAGCGCCAAGGTCTACTTTGGTGTCTGGTTTCTTGCGCTCTAGCTCATAGTAGCTGATGCCTCCAGGTACAGTTCCTCGGACTGCATGCCAGAACACGGCTTGGCTGTGGTGCGAGGGGATGTCGTAGTCGTCTTCGGCATGAATGATGGTAAGATGGTATCTTTCCCCGTTCACTTCGTTGGCCCGTACGTACTCGGCAATGCGATCCTTGCTCAGCCACTTGTCCCGGATGAAGCGCTGCAGAGATTCGAAGAGCCATGGGAAGCGCGCAAGTGGGGACAGGATCGGAATGATGCCCGCCACACGATAGGTCGAAACCAAAGTCGCAACATCGACAAACGGGGCCACTAGCACGGTGCCAGCAAAGACCACGGGTGGAGATTGGACAGCAAGGTCGCGGGTGATGGCAAGGCTGACGGCGGTCCCCATGGACTGACCGAAGATGAGAATGCGAGAAGGGGGAATGCCAGCGACCGTCATGGCCCAGTCGACCACCGCACAGGCGTCGGTGATCAGGCCCGCCTCCGATGGTTGACCAGTACTCCGCCCAAATCCCCGATAATCAAAAGTGAGAACATGGATCTTCTCCGGCTGGCCAGCGGACAGCGCCCGGTAGTTGGGAACGCGATATCCCGAACCCACCGTGCCCCCGGCACCATGCATGTGCAAGATCAGGCGAGCGTCAGGATCGTCGCGCAGAAGCTGGAAGGAGAGCCGGGAGGTAATGTCGGAGACCAATACGGCGGGCTCCGCGACCAGGGATTGTTCGTGCTGACGGTACAGTTCCACGGGCAGGATGTGCCAGGCGTAAAGCTGCTCCCCATCGGGAGTCCAGATTGTAAAAGGGGTGACCTGGTTCCGTAGAAAGCCAAAGGTTTCAGGGACATTGAGGTCCTTAAACCATGTCATTTCGAAGGCATGCAGATACACCACGTGGGATTGGAATGTTTGCGTTGTCAGTAGGCCCAACAGCGTCGCGTATAAGCCGACCGCGATGGCGGCCGAAAAAGAGGCATGCTTGAGTAGCGAGGCCAGAAGGTCACCAGCCGGCATGATGAAGCCGTTATCGGTTTCAGCGCCCGGGTGGCCGGTAGAGGAATTGTAGGATGGGTGCGAAGATCTGGGCGAAAGGGAAATAAGGGGTTCTTGGAGGGATCATGCATAATAATAACAAACATCCTTGTGCTGCCGGGCGGCTTTTGCGACCGTCAGGTCGGCTGCGCTGCGGTCCCCTGTGTACCTTCCGGACCCCCATCGCAGCTGCAATGTAGATAGCTGGTATGGGAGAATCAGTTCCACAGTATGTCATGAATTTCGTTGAATGAAGAGGCTCCAATCGGTCGTGTGTACTGCTCTATCCTCTTCGTCCGGTAAGACATGGGAGCAAAGGGCAAGAAAAGCCTACGGAACATAAGTAGTGGCACCTGCCAATGTCTCGTTAATGCCTCAGGCATCAACAAGGACTGCGCCCCAAGACAGTCAAACCCAGGTAAGACAGCCGGCAGCACAAGCGACGTAGCAGTGGAAGTCATAGGATGTTATATCTCAATTCATCACATGCTGGACAGGCACCAGTACTAAGAATCAGTGGTAGCCAGTCGCTCACTTCCTTCTGGCTATCCTGCAGCCAGCTAGTACTATGTACTAGTAGCAACGAACTAGTTCTCTATATATAGTTACACTGATTACTTAGATTACTAGTTGTACTTGGTACGACCCCTCGCTGTCCCCGCTGCAATTCCCAATGGGGTACCACCATATTTAGTGGAATTATTGCCACTTTTGTATCAAAACTTGGTCATAGCCAGTTATAATCCTGATTGTTCAACCGGAGCTAATATCCCTTGATTTTGTCGTATATCCATTCCATCCTTCCAGCCTCTCGGGCCCCCGATGAGACCGATAAGCCGAAGACCGAACACATGAGCAGCCCCTCTAGTTCATTCAACCACTATATATCTAACCGGTGAGCATGTAGTAAGCCGTATCTTTCAGCTTTCCTGTCATACTCTGATTTCTTACCAGTGTAAGGCTTCATCGTTCTTTCTTCATCACAGCTTGTCACCATGTCTCGTCGCACTGTTGTTGTCATCGGCGCCACTGGCTCACAGGTCCGTTGCATGCTTAGCTTTTGCTATATGGTGCAGTATAATCATTCTGGTCGCTGATGCACATCCAGGGTGGTTCTGTCGCTAGGGAGCTCTTGAAAAGCCCGGACCTGTACCACGTAAGGGCTTTGACGCGCGATCCGAGCAAGCCAGCAGCACAAAAGCTGGCAGAACTGGGGGCAGAAGTTCGGGCGTTTGACCTAAATGCTGGCATCGACGTCCTGCTTCGGGCATTTACCAATGCCGATGCTGTCTTTGCTATGACGGACTTTTGGGCAACACGGTCAGCACAGGCAGAAGCTATCCAGGGTCGAACCATTATTGATGCTGCAGCTCAAACCTCAACCATTGAACATTTCATCTGGAGCTCACTCCCAGATCCCGAGAAAGTCTCCGGCGGCATCCTGAAAAACATTCACCACTGGAAGAGCAAGAGTCTAGTTGCAGATTACATACAGCAGCAGTATCCAGAGTTGTGGGGCAAGACGACGGTTGTGCTCTTTCCCAATTATTTTGAGAACTGTCTGTCTCATCCCGAGCGCTACCTCTCCCAGCCTGTTGGTCTACCTTGTTCCTCCACTACCACATATTTGATACTTGACAAAAAGTCTAACCAGGTGATTCTAGGATGCGCAAGGCGTGTATCATATGTACTTGCCACACAGCCCGTCCACTGTCATGCCGAACGGATCGATTCGCGATACAGGCAAGCTTGTTCGACTAATACTGGAAGATGGGGCCATCTACTTCACAAAGACCGTGGCTTTTTATAGTGAAGCCATTTCGGAGGCAGAGAAGCAAGCCATGATTGGCAAAAGTAACTATACCTACCCACATTTTCTATCTGGCGTTATATGATTTGTTGGACTTATGGAGAATATTCCAGAGTATGGGTTGCAGACAGCGTACCATGTGATAAGTCCCGATGAGCATCAAAAGAAGCTGGAGAGTCAAGGTCTATCTCCTGAGATTGCTCGGGATTATACTGAGCAGCTCTTGATGTTTGAGAAGTTTGGAAACGTGTGTGATGCATCAGGATTTATCCAGGCAAAAGACGTACGTGAAGCCTTTATCATAAAACTGATCAATACACCGGAACTAATCGACACAACGCAGATTCCAGGTCTTTGCCTTCAGTCGTGGGCGGAATTCCTAGAAGAGAATGACATTCTTGCAAACATGAGGGCTTTCTGATGAATCCCAGCATATACTGCAACCATGGTGAGGTCTATTTGTCTGGGATATAGATGTCAAAGAGCCCTTCCACGAGTTTGATACATTCATATGTCCCAAATAATATATTTCCTGCCCATCCCCTCTCTGCCTGAGGCAATGGCGAAGGAACATTTATCCGAGGAACCCGATCGGGAGTGGAACAGAGACCCTGTTTTGTTGTCAGCTTATTCAATTACTCAAAGCGTCCTAAGTGAACTGACAGCCATGCGGCCTCCATGTATGGGTGTATCAGCAGAAGTAGTAGTGTCTGTAAATTTAGCGTATCGGACATTTCTTCTAATAGTGAAACATACCCAGCCGGATACCAAGGCAAACCTGACCGATAAACCTTGAGAGAATCAGCAGAGGATCTAATGGCGATGGACTGACTGGTTATACTCGTGTACAGACATGCAAGTAGCACAAAGGTAGATCAACCATCAACCACGGTTACACAGTGCATGGCAATGGACTTTTAGGGGTTCCTTTTGATTTGAAAGGATCAGAAGTAACATTTTCTTCCGTACCACCTGCATGCCGGATACCTGGATTCCCCGACCGGCTCAGCATTCCATCTCCTGCGGTGTAACTGGTTCCCTATGGATCGCATCGTCATGCTCATCTTCATCTTTCATCATGCCCTTACTTTTTCCAGAGTCCTGCATTGTCCCTACACATTTGTCATTCTCAGCGGTGCATCATGATCCACCCATCCACTCTGAGTGGCCTGCCTTTCGGAACACGAGAACTCCAACGCACTGGTCGCCCGCAGATAATGAAAGGATGGAATACTTGCTGGCCATGATCTGAGGGCGGATCCTTTTCACTTCCATTCGCAGCGTTGCTTACGGTCGAGGCACCTGTGATTTGTCCGTCCGTCTGCCCCTGTGGGGAAGCCACCGCAGCCTGGCACCAACAACCAATGCCTTTAGTGGGAAGGAAAGTGGAACAGGTCAGCGAAGGATGGAGCACTGCCCGATGCTATCTGACCCAACGTTTCAGTGCCCTATAAATCCAACCCCGAAGCCACATGGGATTCAGTGACATCCCAAGCGATATTCATTCACCCATCATTACACTATGACCACCTTCAAACCCCTCCTCCTACCCCGGGCTGTCCCACGCGACCGTGGCGATGGTCCGACTCCCCTGCCCGACTCCACGAGCTCTTTGTCGCCCATGGTTCGCGACAACCTTACCCTCTCCTCGTGGCTCCTCCTGGGTGGCCTCATACAAGGCTGTGCATTTCTACTGCTGGGTTCCCTGTCCCTGCTTCCGACCGCGGCAATCCTCCTCTACAGAACCATCGACCATCTGCTGATGGCCTGCCACCTGACCCCCAACCGGTACCTGGCGGGATCCATCCCTATCAAGCGCAGTGCTCAGTATCCCCGGCCTGATGGCACCTTTGGCAATGAACCGGCGGGCGAGTCTATCGTGGTCTTCCATTTGGGTGCACGCAACCACCATCCTCTCGGGATGTTCGCTCCAGGCATGAAGGAATTGGGCGACAGCGCCGAAAAGATGCAACGGGACATGCGCGCCAACCCTGTCAAGTACGGTCTGTTGGGCTCCTCGCAATGGCTGAAGTGCGACAGTGCAGCGGGCAATGAGTTCATGACCGTCTTCTACCTCCGCGACTACGCTGCTCTCCATCAGTTCGCGCACGATGAGATCCACATGGAAGGGGTGCGCTGGTGGGCTCGCATCGCCAAGGACCATCCGCATCTGGCCCTTTACCATGAAACCTACCTGGTGCCACGTGGAAACTGGGAGAATATTTACATTAATGGGTGGCCGACGGGTCTGGCCGATACCTGGTTTCCCGTGCAGACTCAGGCCGACAAGGAGAAGAATACCGGAGTGGTTGAGCAATGGGTGCGACCGGTGGTTGATGCGCGTGACGGTGTCTTACGGTCGGCCAGTAAGCGGCTGCAGTTGACACGCCTGGAGGCTCGTGAGAAGGAGCACGATGATATGTATAACCAACCTGAGGGCCTGTGATCGGCAGGTACAAGATGATCACCGCAGGAAATCCATGCACCTCTCCTCTCCACTTTTGTGATCTCTTCGATTTAGCCTATTTTCTATCGTAATTCCATGATGTGCACTCAATCTGTCTCTCACTGCTTCGCCCCGATCCTTAATCCCCGAGGAAGAAACTAGAGTGGACTAGACCTCTTTCGAGCCTGCTGCGGTGGTGTTAGTGGCCGCGCTAGACAGCGGATGTCTGGATGCCGATCAATCACAATCCAGACGTTATCCCCTGGCCAATCCTTTAGCCATTTTCGTCTTTCTAGGCGTTAAGCCTCTTTTCGTTCCCCTCGCGTATCGCCACAATTCGAAACAACGCACTTCGACTGAGCCTTCCCGTACATAGGAGCATGGACGATCCCAACACCCTGCTACCATTTCGTTCGGACTCTACGCGTCGTCGACCTGGCTGCAAGAGATCGAGAACGGGATGTCGCACTTGTCGGTAGGTCTACGAAAATGACCCAGGTTCTCATCGGCTGCTGCTGACTCGGGGCAGGGCTCGCCGTGTGAAATGTGATGAAACCCCCGGCGCATGCCAGCGATGTACCTCCACCGGTCGCGTTTGCGATGGCTACGAATTGCAGAGGCTGCCCCTGGTGAAGGACTCATGGTCCAAGATTAGCGCTGACTTGGGGAGTGGCTTTCGATGGACCATCACATCCGACGAACGCCGCTGTTTCTCCTACTTCCAACACCACACAGTGCCCACCTTCCGCGAGATGTACGACTCCTCTCTCTGGCAACACCTAGTGCTGCAAATGGGGCAGTCAGAGCCAGCTGTCTATCATGCGACCGTGGCCCTCAGCGCCATCCACCAAGACGCCGAAGCCCGAGGGATGCCTTTGGCTGCCAACCTTCCCGCGACGTATCAAGGCCCCTGGCTGCGCTTTGCGCAAGAGCAGTTGGGCCGCGCCTTCCAGACCCTCACGAGGCGCCGGGCCTCACCAGATCCCCGATTGCGCAACGTAACCCTGCTCTGCTGTTTGCTCTTCGTCCTGTGTGACCTGCTGCAGGGGCACTACGACGATGCCTTTACCCATCTCCAGAGTGGCCTGCGCATCCTCCGCGAGCTTCAAGCGGAGCGAGAATTAGTGGCGCCCACACCTCGGCAGGGGCGAGTTGAACGGTGTCTGGTCGCGGCCTTTGCGCAAATCGACATCATTTCCGCCCACTATGGAGTTGGGGGCCCTCTGTTGTGCATCGATTCCCTGCCCGGGGAGTGGCAGTTGGCACCGACTTCAGCGGCCGCTTTTGCTACTCTGGAGGATGCCTGCGCTGCCTTCAACCTTGTCACGAGTGCGGCGTATCGCTTGGAAAACTCATGTATGGGGATGCCGGAGCACGAAATTGCGCGCAACTACGACACCATTCAATCAAACCGGCTGCGGGCCCGCTCTCTCGCATCACGTTTCTGGCAATCGTTCGAGCCATTTTACCGGACCTCGTACCATCTTCTCGATCGTAAAGAGCAAAGGAGCGCCGAGCTTCTTCACCTTCAGTACCTCGGCATTATGGTGTCTCTGGAAGTAAACACGCAGGGACACAACGAAGCCGTCATGGCTTCCTTCACACCAGACCTGGAGGAGATCGTCTCTTTTGCCGAGTCGATTATGGACCGGTTCCCTGAGCGTCCTACCGTCAGTATCAACCTGGGCGTCGTTCAACCATTGTACCTTGGAGCCATTGTCTCTCGCGATTATCGCATCCGATGGCGAGCTATCAAGCTGCTGCGTGCGTGGCCGCATCGAGAGGGGCCATTTGACTCAAATTGGATCCTCGCACTAGCAGAGGAGACGCTGCGTTTAGAATTGCTGGCCGATCCGGATGTCAGCGTGCCAAAAGATACCGATTCGGCTTCGTCTCAAGACGATGGATTCGCGCCTAGTCGCATGCTGGAGGACCTGAAAGAACGACATTCGCTACTCAAGCAAATGTTGGCCCCGACGGCAGAGGATTTGGACGATGCAGCATCCTCGGCAGACTTGCTAGGCTCGGTCAAGTGGGCGGCTGACTGGTCATGCATGCGTGCGTTCAAGACGAGGTTTTCAGATTATTGAAGCCTGTTCCGATCTTGTGTGATGATGTTGTAACTTACTCGCCTCGACGTACACCGTTCTGCACTTGCGATATCTACCCAGCCTATATTATGTTAGCGGCAAATTCATGCAGTAATCATGACAAACCTCGTATCAACAATCAAGTTCGTATCCTGCAGAGTGCTAGAATGAACGGCTCATTCCTTCGCCTTAACACAAGCACTAACCCATGACTCGGGAAGCTATGCTGCAGAAGCTAAACTGGCTTAGGCTCTTCTAGTCTTGATTTAGACTACCGTCGCTGACTAGTAGCTGAAGAATCCAAGTTGAATGGATATGAGGCTGAAGGCTAGGGTCCTTGGCTCCTCCACTTCGGCTTCCTTCCATCCAAGTCGACTTGTGATGACGCGTCCAGGATGGCTGTTAGCCTAGAACCATTACGGATGTCTATGGGTGCGGAAGAAGTATTGCCCACTCAGTGTCAGTTACCGGTGAACAATCGTCTATATAAGGACATCACACACCCAACAAACTCTTAATAGTCACTCAAATATTCCATTAGCAACAATGAAGGCTTCATTCACAACCACCGTCCTCTCTGGACTTGCCGCCATCGGCAGCGTGGCTGCCAACCCTCTCCGTCCCCTGGGTGACTTGGTCAAGCGCAATCCGGACGGCAACTTCACCCTCTACGCCTATGGACTTGCCTCTGAGCCCGTAAAATTATTCTACGCTGATGGTAAAGCCACCCCTCACTTCACCACTATCATTAATACTGACTGAAATTAGGACTGGCCTACTTCGGCACTGCCTCCGACTGGACCTACGGCTCCGTCGTGACCGACATCACCAGTCAGTCCCCCTCCCGCCCCCCTCAATCGCTGTATCAACACTAACCCCGCACAGTGACCTACAGCTCCGACGAAGTCTTCGCCGAAGCTCTCACCGAGGGCGTGACCCTCCCTGACGATACTCTGCTGTACATCCGCCCGAACGCAGACGAGGTCACCGAGGTTGGCTTCACGGGCGATGACACCCCCTCGGATGCCGTAACTGATAAATGGATCTGGTACGGTGGCTGGATCATGTATGAGTCTGACTCTGGGGAGCTGTTTGATACGTTCTACGTCAAGGATACCAATGTCTCGACGGTGTGGCAGCTGTTTTGGGTGCCCGAGGGGGTGTCGAGCAGTGGGTACACGAGTGCGAATGTGCGGGATGTTGCTTGATATCTTTTCCGCTCTACCCCGACCGGGGATGGGTATCGGATGGGATGCCCATTTGTGGATGATAGTATGGTGGTTGGCATTTAGTGATGACAGATATCAATGTCAGCGTGCGCCGTTGCATAGTCCGAAGTCGAAGTCATTATGTTCGTCTAGTACAAAATCCGAACTCTTGGTACTTGAGGCCTCTACTCACTTTCTAGTTTGTGTATCTTAATCAGTAAAGCAATAATCATAGCAGAATCATGACATTCTATATCCAGAACTCCATACCCAAAGCAAATCTATAAGAACATGACAATCTAGACACATGCCAATTCCAACCACTATTCACTCCTCAACTCAGTCAATCTCTTGCCAAAGTACCTCTCCACCTTTTTGTTCTCTCCCCCAACACTACCCGCCATCCCCCTCATCCTCTCTTTAATAGCAGCATACCCCTGCCCAGAAACAATCATCCCCAGCGCCTCCAAAATCAACTTCTCCACGCCCTGGATCTTCTCCTTCTCAATACACTCCGTATCATGCTCCAGGCGCATTAAAATAGTCCGATCAGAAATCGCACAAAACTCCACCAACAGCGCAAACTTCGACCCCTTCGTATACGTAACCAACGGATCGAGTCCCTCGACCGGCAACTTCGGCGACGAGCGATCATCATGGAAAGTAACCATGACATCCAACAACGGATGGTTCGGGAAATCAGTCATCTCGGCAGCACCCACCGCCTCAAGCAACTGGTTCCATGGAATCGCATGCGCAATGGCCGACTGGCTGGACCGTTGGACGGCACGAACGAACGACTTGGTCGATGCGGCGGTCGGATCCCGCGACGCCGAGAACTGAATACGAATAGGGATGGGTTCTAGAAACAATCCGACCGTGTCGAGATCGTCCTGTCCGCGGTTGAAGTATGGTCCGCCCAGGACGACGTCCGTGTCGTCGCGATGAGACTGTAGGGCTAGTGCCACCGAGGCTAGTGCGAGCTGGTGCAGCGTGACGCTGTTCGTCTCGGTGTATTGAATGGCTTGTGTGGCGAGACTCTGGTTCAGTCGGACGAGGTGTGTCTGGCCGCCGTAGCTGGAGCGGTGGGTCAGGTTGGGGATGCTGTATAGGGCTTCCCGCTGGACGGTGGTGTCGCCGAGGTATTGCGCCCACCAGTCGCGCTCGTTGGAGGTCGCTTGGGTGCTCCATTGCGTTGTCTCGTGGTAGTTGCGCTTCACGGGGCCGAGGCCATCGCCGCGGTACAGACGGACCACTTCACCCAGGATTACCTGGAGGGTGGTGAGGTCGGCGATGAGATGGCTCATGGCGACGAGCATCATGGACTTGGAGACGATGACTCGAATCGGGTGCTGGCGATCGGGGTGGAAGGGTCTGTTGGCTTCGCGCCAGAGGTTGAAGCCGTGGACACGCATGACCTGCGGACAGTAGCGAGCGTAGGTGCGTCGGGGTCCCTTGCCGCGGTAGTCGAGGTGCGAGCGACTGCGAAAAATGTCGTGGCGGGCGAGCACGGCGTTCCAGCAGGCGATGAGATGCTCGCTGTCTACCTTGGTGCTGTCGATCTTGCAGGCGAAAGTGACATTGAAGGCGGACGTGCCGAGTTGCAGCTGATACTTCTCCAGCCATTCTCGCTCAATGGGAGACACGCGGTTGCGACCGAGGGGTTTGATGGTCGATGCATCTGGGGAGGAGATCTGAGAGACGAGACTGTCCACTGTCTGGGCCAGTTCGGAGAGGTTCGCGGCCTGGATGATGCGTGGGACAGGCACCTTGACCCCGAAGGTCTGGGAGACTCTGCTGGCGAGACGGAGTTGCATGACGGAGTGGCCGCCCAGCTCGACGAAGTTGGATTCCGGGGTGAGGGCATCGCTGTCTGAGCCCAGCGAGAGGAGATCCTTCCACAACTCGGCAAGGGAGTGCTCCGTCTTGCTGGAGAGGGTGCGCTTGGCGGCTGGTTGAGCTACCACTGTGCACTGGTTGGCGATCTCCTTGTAGTCGAGCTTGCCGGCAGGCGTCATGGGGAACTTGTCGACGACCATAATGCGACGGGGCATGGCGTGCACCGGCAGTACCTGGGACATACGCTGGCGGACATCAGCGACTGTCAGAGTCTCCGGCTGGATCATGGCAACGAGGTAGTCATCCTTGGGGCAGATAGCGACGGCGGTGGACTCAGGAATGGCATTAGCGACGCGGATTTCCAGATCATTCAGATCAGTGCGGTAGCCACGCAGCTTGATCTGACGATCATTGCGACCAAGACATTCGACCTGACCGAGACGGTTGAAGTAGCCGCGGTCTCCAGTGCGGTACATCTTCTCGCCTGGGCGTGCAACAATGTTGTCGGGCAGGAACCGCTCCGCGTTCAACTCAGGACGACCGATGTAGCCGTTGGCAACCTGCACACCAGCGCAGTAGATCTCGCCGACCACTCCGGGAGGGAGAAGCTGTCCGTTCTGGCCGAGAATGTAGATGCGCGTGGTGGCGTTAGGTCCGCCGATGGTGACGGGCTGACCGGGAAGCAGACGTTGGATGGTAGCGCCGCAGGTGGCTTCGGTAGGGCCGTACATGTTGTAGAGGGTAGTGGCGCTGGACCAAACGTCGTTGACGTACTGTGGAACGGGTTCACCGACCAGGTAGACAGTGCGAAGCTCGGGGAACTGCTCAGGCAGGAGGATCTTGGCCACGGAGGGGGTCAGGATGGCGGCGTTGCTCTTCTTCAGGTGGGCAAAGGTGTCGGCGCCATCTGCCAGTACTAGCGTAGCGCCGTAGCAGAGAGCCGAGAAGATCTCGTGAATGCTGCCGTCAAAGGCGGGCGACATGAGCTGCGAGATACGCTGGCCGGGAGCGGCGAACAGTCGAACCTCGAGGTCTTTCTGAAAGGCGACGAGACCGGCGTGGTGGCACATCACTCCCTTGGGTTTGCCGGTCGAGCCGGAGGTGAAGCACAGATAGGCGTTGTCTTCGGGCTGGGGTGCGGATCGGTGGTGGGGAGTGAAGTTGTCGGGGATAGTGGCGATCAGTTCCTCGACGGAGAAGCACAGGTTGCATGCTTCGGGAGCAAGATGCTTCTGGGACGTGGCAGGCGTGAGGTACAACTTCCCACCGGCTGTCTGAAAGTTGGTGTTGCGGATGTGGTCGGGCAGACCAGGGTCCTGGGCAGAGTAGACGCCACCAGCTTTGAGGATGCCGTAGATAGAAACGATCCAGTTGATGGACCGGTCGGCCAAGACGCAGACGACTTCGCCAGGTTGAATCTGCAAGTTTTCAGCCAGGATGCTGGCCTGTCGATCCATCTCCGCGTATGTCAACTGAGTGCCAGCCTTTTCCACGGCGATGCCGTTGGGAGTCTCGCGGACAGCGCGTTCGAAGAGCGTGACGAGGTCATCGTGGATGGAGCACAAGGAGGTCGAGTCAGTCTGGCAGTTCCCCATCTGCATGAGGGTCTCCTTGCAGTTGTCGGTCAGGATGTTCTTCATGCAGCCCTCCATGGTCTGCTCAGACAAAAGCAGATTCAGTGCATGATGGAAGTGGTCTGCAAGCATCTGAATGTCCTCACGATGGAACTGTTGTGGCCGGAAGCACAAACGCAGAGTGCCAGTATATGTCGTGTAGATCGACAAGGGAGTGTCGGGCACGACGCGGAACCATGACTCCTTCACGGGTCGGACTGCGTGACTGTCAGATGCCTGCATTTCGAACTCCATCGCCAGCGCAGAGGTGAAGTTGCGGGTGTATCCGTCATCCGGGACGGAACTCTGTACTGATGCCAGCTGGACTGAGTGGGCAAAC